GGCGAATATCTAGCAAGACCAACGAGAGAGGAAAATGCTAAGAGTTCCAGAGAACAGGCTAAAAGAAGGTCAACAAGAAAGAGACAGCAACCTACAAAGGATCCAAGGAAGGAGCCACTTGAGCCTTATCTGGTTTTCTCTCACGCTAGGGCGCAAAAAAAATTGAAAAAAATTTTATCCATGGTTGTTTCCTGCTAGCTTCAGTTTATAACTCAGTTCAGTTTGGACAATGGAAAAAACAAGATACCACTTTGTGGTAAAAATTTTGGCATTCGTCGTTTTAACCTTCGTGTTGGTTCATTGCTCAAATAATATTTCAGAAAGTTTGTATTCTTCAAATAACTTCTTGTCCTATCGTATGGAAAGTTTAATACAGTCGTGGTGTTAAGAGAAGAGAAACCATCTTAAGGATTCTATCTTGGCTGGAAAGTTCTCAAAAATAGAGGATCGACGGCGTAAGTAAGTTTTTAGCATTTGTCACCCTCCATAGGACTTTAAAGCTAAAGGTGATAGCACGCTTACAACACGCTGACACAACACGCTTAGTGTGTCCTGCAACGCGGATTTTTTAACACGCTACATCTTTTGTTTCTCTTAGTGTGCGATCGGTAGCACGCTTATATAGCTGTGCGATCGATAGCACGCTTGGTGTGCGATCGATAGCACGATTTACTGTGCGATCGATCGCACGCTTAGTGTGGGATTCATGGCGCGCCTCGTCCAAAAATTCTCGGCGAGACACCAGCCATAAAAAATATGCTAATCAACGAGAATCAAACATGATAAGTCATGGCGATGATTCAGTTGACACGAGCAAGACAAACAAACGAAAATTGAGCAAGAACAGAGCGACACATCTGTGCCGCCGAGCGCGTCTGATCGGGCCATATTCCAGCCCTCCCGTTCGAAAATTTATGGCCAGACACGAACGAGATTCAAGTCAGACAACAGCCCCCCTCTTAAAACCAGCAAGAATCTAGCAAGTAATGTTTTTCTTACGATGGAATGCTCGCGAAACCAAACGCGGCTTGTGTTTATTCCCAGCCCTAAGACACTCCAAACTTTCTGTGATATTTTAGCGCGGTGGAATACTTGGAAATGAAGGCTGAGAGTTTGGAAAAGCTTAATCTTAATTTAGCGAGCGAAACTACAAAGACAACAGAAAATTTGTAGAAGCGCATAGTCTGTTTATATAAATACTTGTGACTTTCGCTTGCACCAGCGTTTTCTTAGGTTTCAAATTACCGTTCAAATTCATTAGAGTAAAAAATCTGCGCGAACACTGGAACTGAAATTTGATAAAGCTGGCGCCTGGCATGGCGTGCTTGTGTTTACTTTGACCAAACAACACTTTTGGTCATCGTGCTATTCACCCACTCAGAAATATTTCCCAAACTTTACCACGCGAGATTTGTTTTGCGTTTGTCCGAGAAAATATATCTACAACACAATACACAAGACTTGAAATGGTCGATGTTTATGACCGAGAAAAAGATCGAAAACAGCAAAGCACACTGTCAGGTACTGTAAATCCGACTAAAGACTACTTCTACGAAGGAACTGCGAAAACCAATGAGTTACGTTGACTTTGAGGCTGAATCTCATCGTCTTTTATGCTCGAAAAACAACGATCGATGGTGTATGTCAGAAGGTTGAAATGAAATAAATAAGCTTATGCTTGACAACAAGCAGAATCCACTATTATTCGTTAATAGGCTCATTCAAGAATAGTAAGTGACTATGCATCGATATTCATTTTAACCACTTCAGCCAGTGGTTTTTTAAAGTTCTTTTGACACNATGTATCGTGGATGCCGGAAAAAAATTTCAAGTTGATGACGTCACTCACAAACCTGCTTAAACGACCACCTGTCATTAACGACCACTTTTGCGTGATGTTTGGGGTGGTCGCAAAACTCAGGTTTCACTGTAATATTATTACTTGTTGTCTTCATTGTTATCAATATTATCATATACCAAGCTTTCAGATCTGTGTTAAGACCCACTACTGACAGTAACAATACTGTATTAACTACAGCAACTTTCAAAAACATATTTCACATCAAAAAACATGCTTTCAACCAAGTAGAGGGCAAAGGCATCATAGGAAACTATCATAGAAAGTTTTATGAAGACTTACCTTCAGACGAGCTGTCAGTTGGTGGTGGAGATGTTACTGGTACATTTGTTGAACATGTTTTCCGTTTTATACCAGACACACTGAACTCTCCCAGTTTGTTACCTTGCTTAACTGTAGCATTTATAAGTGTTGTGATCACATTTTTTTCCCTTGTAGTGGAGTTGAATTTCAGTGCAAGGTCAACAGTTTTAATTTCACACCTTGGGAAAGACAACAACCAAGGGTTAGAATGACATGAACTGGGAAACAGAAAACATGAGGAAATAAAAAGAATTTAAATTCAAAATATGGAAACGTAAGCAACTGGTAATCATCTTAATAAATCACACACCCCACACTTATTGACTGCATTCCTTCATAACCATGTTTATCAGCAAAAACATTTTTAAGCTGCAAGTAAAAATTTCAATCATCTGTCAAAAAATCTCAGCGTAAATGTACCACACCTGTGTACCTGTATTGTAGACATACTTAAGAACAAACAACAATGACACACAATAATTATCATGTACTAATTAATTAAAATAAACTTGTCTGTTTTGCTGAGAATCAGCTCACAATCAACTGAGTCTATGAGCAACTTAGTGAGTCCATCTCTTCAAAGATGCCACTTCAATGAATGAATGTTAATTCTTCTTCTTGTTACCTTCTTCATATTTTTTGGCAAAAGAGCACCAAACCAATTATTTCCCTAAATACAGAGCAAGAGCAAAAAACGAATAATCATGGAGGTTGTGAAGAGCTTTTTAAGCTCAAGATTTTAAAGAACTCTGACAGACTGAGTGCAACCTAGAAATTTTAGAAACACTGTAGATTTAACATTAACACACATTCTCTCTAGTAGCTGAATTTCCTTTTCATCATTACACAACCAGCACATCACTCTCTGACCCTGGAGTAATCAAAAATCAGAACAATTATGTTAGATGCACATTATTTACCTCTTTTTTAAATGCCTCTTCTACTGACGATTTGTTTAGTCCATCTTTACAAGGTTCACCTTTGAGGGTAATTGTTGTGTTAATCACATCTCCTCCAATGTCTGAAAAGTACGAGAAAAATCATTACTAAAAGATTTACCAAAAATTTTTATTGATACCAGTATTCCTTCAGCAAAAACAGATTTCTGGAAAACTTTATGCCGTTTCTGAGGTTATTTCACCTTATTAATTTTTACCAGACAATTCTGGAGTCTGTTGCTTTCTGTAAACCACTTGTTGTAAGAAGAACTAGTATTTTTACCATAGCTTACGTGATCCTGGGCACTAGTTAACTCCTAATCATTATTTGCATTGGTGGAATGTAGTAATTGTTTACCAGAGGACAATTCATGATATTGTTAATCAAATACACATACTCCATTAATTGGCCTTTTCTCTTCAGCATTAACAAGAGTGACAGTCAGAAAAAAGTTTCAAAAAATTTCTTTAATTCAAGTGAAATAATTTGGGGTAACACAGTCACTCCCATTAGACTGACCTTCTACTTACAAACTACCAGTAGATCATCAGGTTAATATCGAGAGGTAACTAGATGTCATTCCCCTTCTCTAGCTTTTGAAAGCATTGTGAAACTGATGTAAAAAAAGCTTCTCAGCATACAATGAATAGAAGATGAAAGAAAACAACATTCTACAGTGTAATCCCCCAAAATAAAAATCCAACACAATTATAGTTTTTGGACACTCTCAGAAACCCTGGTGTTATAGCTGTTTGCCCTACTTATGATACTCACACCCATAAAGCACCTGAAGTTAAAATTACTGCACTGCTTTCATTGTATTTTTACATGTGATAGAATCATCAATATTTTACTCAGATGCAATTATTCAACAACAGATAAATATCAACCAAGAAAAAGTGGAAGTATGATTT